CTACTCCTCCTCTATGACCGTCTTCATTCGATCTCCATCTTAGAGGCAGGTACGTTTATGTAAACAAAGGGTACATATATGCTGAGAAGATACAGGTCTGGTACACGTGTGTAATACATATACGTACCTCGGGTACATATATCTGTAGTACCTGATACGACAACGACCCCTTCAGCATAAATGTACGTAAAATGCATACCTCGATCGGATGACACTATATAGCTTGCCTTAATTGTAACATGTACCATCTTCCTTGCTTATCACTGTGTGACACCTATACCTATAGCATAATAATACTGCAGGGGTAAACGTCATGGAACAGTTAGGCCTACATCAGAACGGAAACTACATACAGGTGTGTCCATCAGAAATTCTTAACAACCACAAACAGATTCTATAGGTTATAGAAATTCTTATCCACCACAAACAGATTGTGGGAAGAACAAGAACGTTTGTCCATCAGTAACAGCAATCAGGGTGTGGAGTTAACAGCATTTTTAGCTACGGTACCACTAAAGCTTTGTGGACCAAAGTTACCAAACACGAATATGTACCCACAATTAACAGTTCACCCTCCCCATCAGAAAAGTTTATCAACCGTAAAGTATGTTTGTGAACACAATTATTGGAAATATTTATTCAACACAAACTGTCAGATTATGTGCCACTTATTATGTGTGAATACACGTGTATTTCTGTAGGCCTAATTTAATGATATTGAGAATTTCCTTATATCTTCCTTATGACGATCCTAGGCTATATATGAAGATATATACGATCTATATGACGTGGGCCTATATTCTGCTGTGACTGCCTTACTGTGCAGCTTGTACCACTAAGCAGTTATCACGCATGTTGGTGGTTAACGGTGGTGGCTAACATATTTTATGAGAAGTTAAATCTCTAGTTTAATATACTCCACTTTCACGTGTGTACCCAAGTGTACACAGCTAGTCAGCTACCCCCCTTCTAGAGGAAAGTGGTTCATTCGTTCGCAATTTGCAATTAGTGTCCTCTTGTTGATTCATCGCGCCCTCTTTAATAAAATTCTGGCGAAAATGGCGGAATAAACAACAGTCTATTGTGCGCAAAATAATTTTACTTGTTAGACAATTCTTATTTCTGGCATACGTATAAGGTAAATTTCCTTATAGTAAAGATAGTTGCAAAATACGATCACTGTGTAAAAATCTGGGACATCACCTAACGGTGAATGTGGCAGTGATAGTTGCTTCGGGTATTGTGGAAGTACCCTACTCTTCAAGTAGGCCTAGTACTAGAAACACAAAATGCACTTACTACTACTAGTACTAGTACTACTACTCAGTACTACTACTAGTACTAGTACTAGTACTACTACTAGTACTACTACTAGTACTAGTACTAGTAGTGAGTAGTAGTACTACTACTGGGCTACTAGTATACTACTGTCGCCGGCGATCGTTTGTAAATTGTTCCCGTTTCTATCTGTGTCCCGAGGGCTTATTAACAGCTAGAACTTAAGTAACATTACAATTCATCACAAATTACTTCACTAATTAAAAAACAAAATTTTACGTTAAATAATAATACGTTGTCATTGTTGGTGAGAGATTGTGTTTGTGTAGCTATATAAATTAATAAAATGTACACAAACTCGTTGATTGAACGACACATCTTGAAATTGAATAGGCTGCTACTGTGGCTCATAGGGTCTAAGGTATGTCCCCCAGGGTACTGACGGAACGTACCCTGGGTACGGTCCGGTATACCGGAACGACCCTGGTAACTATCTGATATGGTTAGGGTTAGGGAGTAGGCGACTCCCTAGACTCGTTAGTGGAGTAGGCGAGGTCCGGTCCGGCATATTAGATAGTACCAGGGTACGTTCCGGTATACCGGACCGTACGGGTACCCAGGGTACGTTCCGGTATACCGGACCGTACGGGTACCCAGGGTACGTTCCGGCAGTACCCTGGGCGACATAGACCCACTCAGCGCTACTGTGTTAGGCTGGTAAAGTAAAATAAACCATAGTTGAGGTATTAATTAGTGTTATATTTATAATTTCAATGACGAAAAACAGATATGTATTATTCCAACAATAGTGCTAGTACTAGTAGTTAGTTACTGCAAAAACTAAACTAATTTTGTTAAACTGTACTAGCTTTTTGCCTGAATCGCATTCTAATCTTATCTTAGATACTAGATGTATTTTTAGCTGCTATGTATTTATGCTAAGTTAGTTGCTGGATGGCAGCCATGCAAGTCGCCAATATTTGCATGTGAATATATTTAATAATGGCGCCGCAGGGGTAGAATTGTAATTTTTAGGGCAGTACAAGTGTTGTTTTGGGTTTAGTAAAAAAAATTGGTCTCCAGTCATATTGCAAGGTGCCAAGACAATGATTACCTTGTAGTAGGAGTATTAAGATCAGGGGGCAGTAGGGCAGGGGGATTGCACAAGCATAGAGGCATACTAAGTAAGCTCTCACTGAGTTTTTGCCGTGGATATCGTCCAGTAACCTACACAATTGTATAGGTGAATATTTCATATACTTATCTATTGTATATTACCTAACTTATGTATTCATTCATCTGTGGTGTAGGTGCAGCTATGCCGGTGTCGTATGAACTAATATGTGTGGACCCAAAAGGGATAAGTGATGTCAACCTTCCTGATGGGAAGACGACTATTGGTAGAGGGCCATTTCTTTCAGTAAGTATATATAATTGGGGTTATGTGTAGTAATTACTAGATATATATATATATATATATAACTATATATCAGGAGTAGATAATAGGGAAGGAGTGTGACTTCGATAAACAAGGGAAATTCGTCATTTACTAGCCTTATAATACCTACAATTTATTACGCGTAACTCATCCAACTTGAGCTCAAATCGTACACAGTACATTCGCCTAGCATCGTGCAAAATCGTTTCCTCGTATACACCAGCAATCCGGAGATACAGACTAAAACGTACGACACGATTATCCATTCTTTGGCCATCAATCCGAAAGTTATTCCCGCCGAACTTGCAAACAAAAGGCAGCTACTAACGCACTGTCGCTCACTGCGGCGAGGCGGTGTGGCTCGCTGGGAGATTTGACATCGACGCAACACTCGGCGAGATAACCTTTGACCCGGCGATACAGCTACATACCGGGACATACGCGCATACAGTTGGTATCCCCCCCCACGCACGCACGCCACACCGCAATCTCCCTGCGAGCCACACCGCCTCGCCGAGTGAGCGACAGTGCGTTAGTAAGCTGCCTTTTGTTTGCAAGTTCGCGCGGGGAATACTTTCGGATTGATGGCCAAACGAATGGATAATTGTGTCGTACGTTTAGTCTGTATCTCCGGATTGCTGTGCATCTGAGGAAACGATTTCGCACCGATGCTAGGCGAATGGTCTGTGTACGATTTGAGCTCAAGTTGGATGAGTTACGCGTAGTAAATCGTAGGTATTATAAGGCTAGTAAATGACGAATTTCCCTTGTTTATTTGAAGTCACACTCCTTCCCTATTATTCTAACTCCTGATTATATATATATATATATATATAATATATATATATATTATACACAAGGTAGAATGATAAATTAAAGTATATATTAATTAAAATATTGTAATGAGGTTTTTGATATAATTTTATGGTAAAATAGTTAAATGTGATTTCTTTTAATTTTTCTTATATATATATATATAGGGCATGAAATTAACTTTTGAACAAGGGAGTCCAACGGACTCCTTACCCTCAAAAAGAGGGAGTCTGCAGTCTGAGGTTCAAAATTAAAGATAATGAACAATAATTACGCATGCGGCTTATTTTAATATTCATGCAGTTGCACGTCTGCCAAATTTCTTTGGACTTATCTTAAAAAATACAGTAATTCCGGAGGCCGTGCTCCAGAATGAACTAGTTAGGTATATGCCAGATTTTCAGGGAGTCACACGGACTCTTGCATATGTCAAATCAGGGAGTATTTGACTCCAGACTCCCGTTAATTTCGCACCCTGTATATATATATATATAATAATAATAATAATTAACTAATTAAAATATTTAATGCAATGCATCTGATTTTATTATTTAAATGTAAGTTGATGTTTGTTGATGTGTTGCATTCTTCTTTTTTAAGTGCATGGACAAGAGAGTGTCAAGAGGTCATGCTGTCTTAGAAGTTACATCTAATGGGGATCTTACCATAACTCCAGTGAGTGCACTTTTTAATTAAATATATTCCATGCAAGTGTCTACAAATATTACTTATTGTATGTATACGTTAACAAGTATGAAACTGATTTAGTATTCTTATAGTGTTACAAAACCTCCCAAGAGGACAGTTACATTATTTGGTATTAGCATTAAAACCTGTTGTTGTATTGCCACACTGTGTGATTTTGCTATCAACTGTAACAGTTATCAACCCCAGGCTTTCCTCACACATTTAGATACACGTAAACCCGTGCTTCTACAAGCCTGCCTCCATGGAAAGTTCCAAAATGCTCACTCTGGAGAAAGAGATATCGCAAAAATTAGAGTCTGGTGACAGAATCGCCCTTCTTCCGAACACCTATGTCTACGAGGTGGTAGTCAAAGAAGGGAAAAGGTAAGTGCTTGTCTGTGTCACGTCTTCCTCTGCCTAAACCCCCTCTAAACTATGTTGAGAAGTGTGCCTATAATATAAGTATAGCTTTGTCTCACATGCTTTATTTAAGTTTGTTGTTAATACTGCGCTACATCCATTGCAAACCCCGTAGTCAATGTTGCTTAATTAGTGCATTAACGTATCAACACAATGTCACAAGTTTTTCACGCGTGCTCGGCTTAAACCACAACTCGAACGTGACACGACGTAAACTTAACGTTGACCGCGAACTGCGAGCATGTGGCATCGCCCGAAAACCGGCGAGATGCTCAACGTGTTTCCCTCTCGCAGTAACGGAGTCGCCGACGCAGCAAAGACCGGTGACAATGAGACCGAGGCCGAAAAGCAGAGCAACAACGGAAGTCGATCCGAATCTCCAGCCAGCATCAAGACAGAAATATACGACACAAAGAAGCCAAGCGATCAGGGTAAGGTGGCTTCCATATGTCGACGAGAGGAAGAGCGAGAAGGGTTGCAGGTCTTTAAAGTTGCAAAACCTCGCAGCTAAATACATATATATACACCTACTGTGAGCTTGCGTATTTTGCAAAAATTTACTACAACTCATTTGTATTGCTACTTTCATAATATTCTCAAAATCTAAACGAAATTACTTCTCTTACGAAAGTAGCACCACAGTGATGTTTACACATCCGGGACACAGCGGAGCGATCGGCTCGATTCATTAACAGTTCCTTTCTATGATAAACGAGTTATAATTCATTATTCGATGTTTATTCAGTACAAAATTGTAAAATTTTATCGTTATCTATATTACTTATCAGGAAACAAATATAGTGTTTTCGTTCCAGGAATTATTTGCGCTAGCGTAGGGTTGCTGCTAGCTGTGTAACGTAACCGCGTCGGACGCAATTTTGAAAATCCCAATGTTTGTAGCACTTCTCTGGCTCAATGAGAACATTTCATGATGTTTGCACACTGCAAGTATGCTGACAGTAGGTCTATATAGGCTTTTTGTTGCGAGGTTTATCCATTTTAAGTAACGTTGTGGATCAGCTTGACTGATATGAGATGCCAAGCTTTATTTATCATAGTCAGACGTTTAACATTCGTAGTGGTTTTCATTCTAACTTAATTTTCGATCTGTTGTTTGCAAACAGAGAAGAAAGATACAGCTAATCCAGCAGCAAAAGACGGGCCTGCCGGTGAAACAAAAGAAGGTAATACAGGTATAGGTAGAGGTGAATTAATTTCAGGATGCTTGCTGTATAAATCCGTTATAGCTCTACTTACTGCATATACTGAGTACAGTGAAACCTAAGATGGTATAATTAGTTACTTATCTCATTGAAACTCACATATACCTATCTAATTACCATAACTACATGACTATCCAAATCTAAAGACATCTCTTGATAGCCAAGTCTAAAATTATTTTGAATCGTCCTTCTGAAAAGTACAAGTAAGTCCATCGAAATTTCCTTTTTATCATAAAATTTAAATACTTCATCGAATACGTTTCTGTAAATAATATGAAATACTTTAGATATTTCGAATTATCTCATCGAATTATTTAAGCACTGCATCTCTCGTCTTTCTAGATGACCTTTCCGAGGATACATCAAAAGAGACGAACGACAACGACGTGTCCATAAAAAAGAACAAAGCCGGACGTCCAATCAGAGGCACAAATTCTTCCGCCACCTCTAAGGAGGCCGAGGGAGACTCTGAGGAAGAGCAGGAAGAGGAGGAGGAGGAGGAGGAGGAGGCAGTCGCAAAGAAAACTCGAGGCACGAAGCGGCCCATGATCGAGGAGGACCCAGATGACGAGTTCGAAGAAGAGCAGGAGGTCATGCCGAAGAAGAAGGACAGACGCAAGCCCACGCAGAGAGGCCCCCCGAAACCACCGGCACAGAAGACACTACACGGCCGGGTAGTGAAATCAAGATCGGCTAAAGAGGAGGAGGAAGAAGAAGAAGAAGAGGAGGAGGAGGTCCTTCCGAAGAAGAAAGCGAGAGGCAGGCAAGCCAAGCAAGAGGAACACGCTGACGATGACGAGGAGGAGATGGAAGAGGAGGAGGTCATGCCCAAGAAGAAAGCCAGGGGGCGCCAAACCAAGCAAGAGGAACACGCTGACGATGACGAGGAGGAGATGGAAGAGGAGGAGGTCATGCCCAAGAAGAAAGCCAGGGGGCGCCAAACCAAGCAAGAGGAAGACGAGGAGGAGGAGGA